GAACAGAGTGACAAAGCCAATTCATAGATCGGGATTATTAGGAGGCCATGATTGGTAAGGGCCAATTGGAAATTTAGCCAGGACGCTGGGGTTACAACCCTACTCTTTTCGAGAAACGCCCTGGGATTTTTAATGACCACAGAGAGTCAGGACCTCGGTTTTACGTCTCAAGAGAGTAAGTTCATTTAAAGGATGGTTTTAGTACGTCTCTCCTTCGCCCATGCTGATATTTATATTTTGAAGAAATTAAAAGGAAATGCCTGATAAATGCCACCAGGTGTGAAATGTGATGTAATCAAAGGTGTGTTCCTTAGCCTGTAGCTTGAAAAGTACTGTGAAGTTGGAAAAGAAGATAGTTTGTTGAGATATCAAAACTTTGCCATGTTATGTTATTATTGTTTTTGTTCTCACCGGGAACTAACGCATTTAAACTTGGGGGGAATACCCGTGGATAAGGTTTGCTTTGCTTTATTTTTCTTCAAAGAAGTGGATGTCATGTCAAGTAAAGGCATTTACCTCTCTAGCTACCGTGATAAATATATTTTGTCACTTTATTCAAAGGCTTTACTGAAAGGAAAAAGAACGTTTTGTGATTTTAACAGAATTGTGCAACATTTGTGCAGGAGATTTTTTTTAAGTTTTTTTCTCAACATCTAATTTATTCCCAAATGTAATCCAGACAAATACTGTAATATTTTTCATTTGTTCGTCATTCAAAGCCATTTTCTCTCGTGTTTTCTGTGTACTTGACTGTTCATACTCTTCGTTTTACCCTGCTCTGGGGTAAACCCCAGTAAAGAGTTTTATGTTTTCAGTTTTTCAATGGCGTCACATTAGCTAAAGCTGTCTCACTGATTTTGCCATGGTAATATTACTGTAGTACTATTACTATGTCCTGGCTGTGGATTCCCTTCTACTGAATTTACAGTCAAAACAGGGTAGGCTTGGACTGAGTCTAAAGGAAAACGTATTACAAGGAACTTGGATGCTATTTCACAACTTGCGGTCTTCTCAAGCGAGCCCAGTGCAAGGCAACTGGCCCACCAAACTCGTATTATTGTTCAGTTGATCTTAAATTGAATAATCTGAATTATAAAGGTGCTAAAGACAGGTTTATAAGGGAATTGGTAGTCCTTCGGGAGGAAAACCTTCAGATTGAAAACAGTATCCAATTTGCGTTCGATATTACTTTTTTTACTTCATTATTTGGGATTACGCGATGGCTGCATTCTTTGCTGTACCACGGAATCCCGATCTGTGACTTCCTGTTTGAAATCTTTTGGAGTTTAGTACCTGTTATCCCTGGCCGTTTGACGTTTGGCCCAAATACTGGGCGTAGAGAGCAGCTTGAGAACTGGGATGCTGGGCTCCTGTTAGCTCTTTTAAATTCAAAAATGCAAAACAAAACGGGGGCTAAAAGACAGATGGGCAGCATGATATGTAATTTATTTCGTTCATTACAGTTAAATGCTTTAATTGTCATTAATCAGAGTCTGAATCGGTGAAAACATTCCAATAAATCAGCAGACAAAAGAATAAATTGCAGTGTATGATGCATTAATGACATGACTCAAAACATTCAGTAGTGGTGAAAAGCTTTCACTGTTCCATCGTTGTACAATCAGTATGTATTTTTTTGATTGCGAGTAACTGTTTAGTACAGTATGTTTTCAGGCTTTCAATTGAAAAAATCAAAGCAACTGCGTGGAAATGTACTTTAAAACGATTTAAAATGCACACAAACCAGCAAACCTTGAGCATTCGTTATTGTTCTGTGGCAATCGCTGCAGATCTAATCCGAATGTTATTCTTTTGCAAAGAAATGAAGTTCCACCGTGAAGGACACGATTGAACAGATATTTTGAAATGATTTCGGCTCTTCTGTCAGAGTGAATGTGTTTTACATCTGTCCAGATAAAACAGCTCAGTTCAAACAGGGGAAAAACACTTCCAGAAAACAGAAAATCACAGAGTCAACAAGGAAATACAGATTTTTTTTTCTGTGCTGATACAGTATGATTGGTGGCATTTCAGGAGGGGAGAAAATAAAACGGCTACAGGCTCAGGAACTGTATGTTCATGGGAAACAATTCATTTTAGAACTGGGATCTGTAATTTGGATTGTCGGAGCTCAATTTTCTTACCATCTCTGTTGTCGTCTAAGAAACATTTATTTTCATACAGTATGCAACCCATTTCACACACTCCATTTTAGAAAAACACAAGGTAAAAGTGAGTTTAGAGAACAGGAGGCCCTTTTTCGCCAGAAGTGTTGATCGGGAAGCTACTCAGCCATGTTTTCAAAACTGCCAAAATGCCTCATCTCCTTCATGACCTTTCTTCCTTTTCTGTAATAAAAAAACTTTACTTGTGACTTAGTGTATTTCTGGCCTTGGTAATTGTGCTTTCAGGATGAAAAGTGCACCTGGGAAGAATTTTTCTGCCCATTTCTCAGAAATCTTACTGGCATGGGCATAGCATTAATTAGCAGGAAGCTGCTTTTAAGAAATTTCAATTCCCACTGAACTACCCAGCCCATTTTACGGCTGCAGTCCCTCAGTCTAAAGAGGTGGTCCTGGGAAGAGATGTAAAAGCCACCAACCAAGAGTAGAGGGCATTGTCAGGGGAAAACAAATAGAAAGGACAATGAATTTTAGAATAAGACGTACGGTCGGTGAAAACAAAAAAAATGGAGCAAAAAATTAATTGAGATGGCTCAGTCAGTAAGGTTCAAGCGATCTGTTATACTGAATGTAATTTAAATGATTGCACTGGAGTTTTGCACGTTTCAATAAAAGGAGTTAGCTAACCCCATTGTGAAAATAAAGTCATTTACATTTTAATGAACAATAACTCCAGACTCAACAGAAATCAATTTCGGCTTGCAGAAGAGGGAATAACACATCTCTTTGGAAGTGAATGTACAGTATGCCTGACTATTGATACGTATTGCATTACATAAAAGGGCTATTCCTTTCATCTGTAGATGCATCTGCCATAAAAATATAAGGGTGATGTCTAATCCACCAAACTGTACGTGACCTGTGTCCAAGATAATGAATTTGGTCTACATTTGCCTGTTTCATCAATGTCCTTTTAAATAGGCAATCCTCATTTTCTGTATAAAACATTATCCTGCTTTCTTCGGTTTTTATACTGTACATCACCACACTGTCCGATTCCTTTTGCTTTATTTTCTTGTCCTTTGGGTTTTAATCAGAGATCTCCTTGACCCCTGCATCCAAAGCATTTTAAAAGATCTGATCTTTTAGCCAGATTCTGTTAATAGTTCTTATGTTAGATTGGTAGACTGAGACAGCCTTTTCTTTACACAAAGGAACAGCATTTTCCCCTAAATCTGTGGTTGGCAACAGCAAATTTAATACTGAACTCTCGGCTCAAATTGTTGGGTACACGCAATTATTTGTAGGCTTTTGTTAGACTTGATTTGGGTTGAGTTTTATGTGCAAAGAAGACGACAGACCACCTGTTGTAATTCTGTGTCTGTGAGAAATCTTTATTTAGCTGGCTAGGGCCCCTGTAGGATGAGTGACATTTTCTTAGCTGCTGAACAATCTATGTAATTTGTATTCTGTCATAAGGTTAAATATATATCCATGCCAATTCGACTCTCCTAACGTGACATTTATGGCAGCATAGGAGGTCGTTCATGACCATATCCAAGATAAAAAAAAAGCTCTCAGAAATGCCTGTGCTTTAGAGGTGAGTGCATAACAGTACCTTGGTCTCTTTCTGCTCAGCTCTCCTGGGGCTTCCATAACAATTTTATTTTAACACTGCACTGAATGGCCCTGTAACTTCTTGTATCCCCACTGGATCATCAGAGACGTGCACTGTATGCTTTGTTACCATTGAGTGAAACTAGAGAGCAGGACTCTGTAAAAGGGTTTTCTGGCAAAAATAAAGTACAGGAATTAGGCTTTGTTGGACTCACAGGTGATTGATAATGTTTCTGGCCGTAGCCTAGGGAATGCAGGGTCATAATCAAGTTGAGGTCCTCGCTATCACCGGCTGAGAGTCCCCAGTGACAGTGCAGAGTACCTGTGGCATCAGACATCAAATATTTGGCAAGAAAGTCTTATAAACGTGCTGCTGAGCAGAGGCAGGTTGGCTCCTGTATCAGAAGAGGTGCCAGCGGGACTTGCGCTGTGAGTGTTGGCCAAAGTCCTTCCTCGCCATGACGGCCATTCTCTCTCCTCTACCATGCCCCGCCGATGTCGCGTCCCAGCAGGCATTGCTTTTACCACCTCAGATAAGCTGTGGTTCCCTTTCAAATTATCAATACACCACAGGCCATAAACGGAGCTAACATCGATAACAAAAACAAGGTGCTATACTCCTATGATTTTTGTCATGTAAAAAATCGACATACAGTAGTTATATGAGACTGAGATAGTGTTTTTAAATTATGTTTAGGACATCCGAGGAGTTTTTTTTTTTTGACACTGTGTAAGAAATGGCACTGTGGTCAGGTAAGGTTATGCAGGAGGTACTGTATAATCACTTGGAAATTAGCAGTCCAATATGGATATTTGAATAGAAATAACAAGCAGTGGTTGTTTTATAACTTATTAAATGGCCACCACAGGATTCTATTCTGTAACATTAGGTGTGTAAAATGTTTTTTTGGTGAAGTTCACATAGCATGTGGTGAATAAGCCCTCACAAGTCTCCTACCACAACTCACCGGACTAAAATAACACAAACAAGACAAACATTCCATAGATACACAATACTTTATCAAAGAATTACATACTGTATATAAAAAAAAACACATCCAGTTAGAAAACATTTTTTTTCAAATTGTTTTTCTATTACTTCAGATAATCACTTTAAATAATTCTCACAATACCAGTAACAATCCTGACCTTTGATCAACGTAATAGAAAATGTCAAGAAGAAAAGGAACATCTTTGCACTACAACAATACCATTCATTTTTTTCTGCTGTCAGAATGCACTACATACCATTTGCTTAAAAATATATATACAACTGTATATATCTCTTTTTTTTTCTCCCAGCAAGTTCTAAAAATGTTGTATTTTTCTCTGGAACTATTGTCCCTTGAAAGAACTATTTCTGTGTTGTCTCCAAATGAAATCTGACCCTTTGCTGGATTGCAACAGTCAATTCTCCGGCTCGCTCCAATCCAGCCTTTGTCATGTGTGTTCACACCCAGTTACCTCAGGCATGGGAGTCTGATTCTGAATCACCACTGGAGATGGTGCTTGCAAAGTCTGATTGTGAGGAACTGAATTCTTCTGGAGTTCAATTCCAAAAGCTGGTGGGGCGTTTTGCAATTGTTTCCTGTACTGCACAAAGCTACAGGTCTTTAGGATTATGGCCAAAACGTTTTTCCCCATTAAGATCCCTGAAACCCTAACATCCCGATAAAAGATCATGTTGCCCCCTCTGATGAAGATGGTGATGATGTTTATGGTGACCAAGCTCAGGATAGGATAGAGCATCATCTTGTGGGGTACAATGTTAATTCCTTGCATGCTTATCTCACTTAATGACACACAAGGAAGGATCAGTAACAATATATAGCAGTAAAAGAACATTAGCCCCTCAGCCCATAGGGGGAGCCCTTTTTTCTGAGGTTCCCACAAGTTGGCTTGTATATCCAAAATGTCCAGGAGATCCACCACCACCCAAAACAGTCGGTTCCTGATCTCCTCCTTCTTCTTAAACGCGCGCACATACTCCATGTGGTCGATCGCCACCAAGATGATGTACAGGGCAGGAATGCAAATAGAGAGGAGCAAAGTCAGGGCCTTCCGAGCGATGGTGTCCAAGCTCTTTCTGTCTGCCTTGTAGTTCTGGTAGATGAAGTACACTTTGATCTCCAGCACAAAGATGTACAGGAACCACAAGATCATGGCGTAGCCCCTCTTGGCTGTCCTGACCTCTGCTCCCACCCACACGGCTACATAGCGAAGAATGATCAAGAAGCAGATATCCCCCACCATCACCATGATGCAGATGCCAATCTTGCGAGGCCCCTGGTTTTGTTCCACGAGATAAGCATCCATTAGAGCCATGCTGCTCATGATGATGATCGTAGAGAGGCACACATGTGGCTTATTAGCAGGCGGGGGTGGTACCATTCTGAGCTTCTGAGCAGCTCTGCTTACCAGGGGAAAGCAGGAATGAGGAGGCTCAGTTCCCTGGGCAGAGCTGTTCAGCTGCTGAGAGCTGCTGGTTAGATATTAGTCTTTCTGAATTGGCTCATGTTTTGCCACTTTCCTCTACAGTTCGCAGCTCCTCGGTACTGTTGCTCTCAAAGCATCGGCGAAAAAAGATGCAAAATAGTGTGACAATCGCTCAATCTGTAGCTTGCCATGCGTGAGGATGCCTGTCTGTAATAATTGTGTACAGCAACACTGATTCAGGGAGCTTCCCAGTGTTCGGAGTGCTGGTGTTTAATTTCCAAGGCAAATGATTCTTTCTCTTTTCTGTATCTTCACATACAGAATTTTAAGGGTATCGTAAGACAGGTAAATAGTTTTAAAATTCTGCTTCTGTTACATGGAATACATCAAAACATGGGAAAAATAGAAAAGGTCAGTTGTGTACTTACTTTTCTCCCCTTTATAATTTACCATTATGATTGGCAGTGGACGGTTTTCCATTAGGCTCATTTGAAACTGCAAAGTCCGGAATAATCCATTTAAAGGCTAAACATACTTGCAGGAAAGAAAACCCTTTATGGATGGGAGTATAATCCAGTATAGGAAAGAATGCATACTAGTAATTGCAAAAATGTATTAGGAAAAAATCACTCACTAAGATGTAATCCAGTTTAGCTCAGATAACCGTGAAAAGGTTTCTCTTTAAGACAGTTTTAAATTTCAGCTCTGAGGAAGTTAAAGAGTTTAATATTACAGTAGATTGGAACACTTTCCTTTGAATGGGGGAACCGAATAAAATCGCACGCAGACACGTGTTAAAAAAGAAGTTGTTTGAACTGAAATCCAAGGGCGGGGGGGACCAGCTTCTTCTCTTTGAAAGAAAGATCTTTCTTACTTCAAAGAATTCTTCTCTCTGACAACAAGAGGCATCTATCCATTGTGAGAGGGGGATTTGATTTTCTGAACGTTGACAACACTGGAGGCATAGAGCTGTCCCCAGTCCTTTCAGCGGCAAATGCAAATCCTTCAGCTGTTTGCGTTGCCTTCTCTCGGCGGGGAAGCAGCCCCTCCTGGCAAAGGAGCAGCACAGTTGTTCCGTCTCACCTCCAGCTGTAAGCATTAAAAACGATGTGCCTCAAACACCCGTCATCCTCCCCGCACGGCATCCTCCGATAGAAAGAACCGCTCGGCCCAAGTCAAACTGAAACTCCCACAATATCCTCCTTTGTGTAGTTCGAGCTCTCTGGCTGTCCTGCGTGAAAACTGCCTGTAGCTTTTAAACTGTTTTTTTTTTTTCTTCTCCCGTGTAAAGGCGCTCTCTGTCTGCCTGGGCTCCCACTCTTCACAGCTGCGGAGAGGCTCTAATGCGAACTCATACTCATCTGAAAGGGGTGGGGGAGAGACCCCCCCGTGCCTATTTTAAATAAATGTCAAACTCTTTTTTTTGTAATCCACCTTTCTTGTGTTTCTCCCCCTTCTTTTGAGCCTTGCGAGAGTGCTTCTCACTTTATCGATCTGCTTTACGGCCACGGAATGTTTTGCTTTGGCTTTTGGAAACTGAATAAAAGAAACAGAAACGTCCAGTCAGTGAGAACGTAGATACTTAAGAAGCTCGGTCGTATATTGCACTGCAGTCCAAGGAAGAAGGCAGTGAGGGTGAGGCACTTTGCTTCTGTTAGAGCTTTTGCATTGATTGTGTGACAGAGCAGTGAATCAGGAGACTGAGTGAGCCACCGAGAGAGGGAGGGAGGGAGAGAGAGAGCAAAAAAGGAGCGAGGGGAGAAGAAGAGAGAGAGAGCGTCTCCTCTTACTGGCTAGTGCAGCAAAAGAGAAAGCTAATTAATGCAAATTTGAGTAAGGATACTAAAAGAAAGTACCACCCAATGTGCATACATACAGTACATACAGTATATATCTGTAATCAACTACCAGGTTCAAGGTGAATACTTTTCATAAGTTTTAGGCAGTAATTTTGCACATTTTGTAACCTTTTCAGTGTTTATATATATACATACAGTGGTAATGTGTAAAAAGTTATCCTTAAGCTGGATTTGTTCTAGTTTATATTTGTTAAAGAATGCAAGGTTTTGTTTTCTGTTGTTTCTATGAATTGGCTTAATTTCTCTCTGCTCTCCTCCCCACTGATAGCTGGTGTGTGGTGACCGTTCTGGCGCACTATGGCTACTGTCGCATCATCCAGGTGGATGCTGCAATTTGGTGGTAGTGGAGGGGAGTTCCAATACAGCTTTACAAAGCTGTAAAGCGCTTTCAGTGGAGTGTCCAGAAAAGCGCTATATAAGTGTAAGCAATTATTATGATTATTATTTGCTCATTCCTTAAAGATATACAGTAGGTGAAAAGTAACAAATGCCTGCTTACTGTTTAAAAATAGCTTAGAAGAAAATTGCCATAAAGCCACTAATTAAGTCATTTGTAGTGATGATTAGACATGCTAATTGTTTTGTTCTATAAAATTGAAGAACATGAAACTGCCATGTTTGTCATAGTGTTATAATACCATAGTTATTATGACGTAACTTGATTCCAAGGTCTGCTACTAATAAAAACCCTAAGAAAGTAAAAATTTACAAATAGTTATTTCATGTTTTTTTTTTATTTTAATTTGTAAATTGTGCTTTTAATCTAGGGGATGAAGATTAAAAGCACAAGCATAAGATAGCACATGGCACAAGCATAAGATGAAGTTTTAAGCAGTAGAATAGCACAGGTCATGCATTTAAAGGTGATTTATTAACGCAAAAAAGATATGAGCTATTAAATTAAAAAAATGGAAATTGAGAAGATGCTGAATAACTCAAATCATATATGAACTTGAAATAAACTGACATCACCTAGCCACTGTTTTGTCCTGTAAATATGGGAACCAATTGTGCAGAACGTTCAGCAGACAACTGGCTCAGTCTAACACCCAGAAAATGAGCAATTTCCAGTTTACAGCCATTCACAAACCTACGCAGATTGCCTGGAAACATTTCTTGATTTTCATAGCTTTTAATCTAAATTTGTAATAGAATATTTCCAGAATATAAACTTTTACATCAAATTTGGTAGTTTCATCATCTCAAAAGGATGGCATTCCTAGAACTTAATGGGTTCTCCCAGTCCTAGCCACCCTTGTATTGTATTTGTACTGTAGAATTAAAGCAGGGGTAAAGCCTTTAGCCTACAGTATTGCATGTGTAATGGTCAAACACCATCTGAATGTGCCTCTGTGCTCTCATCTAAAATGAGTTTTGAGGGCATGGATAGTGAATAAAAGGAAAATTGAATGCAGTAAAATTCAAATACTAAGAATGAGTGTAATTGAGTAACTGTACGCAAACGTACGCAAACAACATGCAATTTGGTAATATTATGTAATGTGTCAGATTCTTCAAAGAAGAACATTCTGTGCCTGACCTCAACACTATTGCATCCTTGATCACATATTCCCATTAGTTTTTTCTGTTCATAAGAAATCGTAATACCTGTGTTTCAAGGTCTTCATGTATCCGTAAAGACAAATGTTGAGAAAGAAAAATACACTTTAATTCCACTTGCAAAAAATGGCACTTTGTCTTAAACAGGTATTGAAATCTTTCAAACAATTGCTTTCCTACTGAGCATTTTTGCATCCATAATTTATGGACAATTTCCCTCAAGAGTGAACATGAGATTTGTGAACATTTTTGAACATGATATTTCCCTCAGAGAGCATTTCTGTGTGCATTCAAGTAAAAAAAATGGAATGCCAGGATGTATTTTCCTCTGTTGTTAATTGAATGTTATCTTAACACTTCAATCTGTGTGATACATTAGGGTTTAACTGGCACACTTCTGTGGATGTACAGTATGTCCACAAACTACATGGTCAGTCTCCTGTTTGCTTTCCCAGGTGGTTATTCTTGACGATGGTCCATAGAGCTTTTGAACTGGGACATGAAAAGTTGGCTGGATGGCTACTAGACATCACTAGCAGACACAGAGTCGATATCTTCATGGAAGGCTGTAAAAGCTGGCAGGCCAGTTTAGCGTCATTTTGAAGACAGCCTGATCTGAAGGCTGCACAGGAGCAGCATGGGTAATATACATCCCGCATACTCTTATGTGGTTCATCAATCTTTATTTAACAAGTTCCTGTTTGATTCCTTCCCACACTTCCCCCCACCATTGAGCTCTTTCAGAGCCGCCTGGGGGTGAGCTGTTAATCTCTCCCCATCCCAGACTGTTGCTGCTGGGGTGAGCCGAGATGTTGCCGTGGGAGAGAAGGAATGCCAGAGCTATCGATATGTGGGAGCCCATAGAGTTGAGGATGGGAGGAGGGAATTGCACACACCTGCGGACTCCAAATGAGGGAATGGGAAGGGGAGATGGAAGTGTGAGAGAGGGGGGGATCGAAGCACTGGTGTATCGACCAGGCTGCCTCTCTTTTTGAGCTGTAGCACCACACTGCTCCTGGAAAGCAAAAATGAGCATCACAGAGTACAAATAAGGCAATACTTACGAGTTTTAAATATCTACCATACGTATATATATATATTAGATAGGGATGAAAAGTTATTCTCTGATTATGTTTAGACCAGCAGACTCACCTGGGAGTTTAAAAACACTTTGTTTTTTTTAAACAGGGGGCTACGCTCAGAATATGGTTCATGGATGCTCTTTTCATGTTTAGCCTTGAGCTACTTAAAGAAATGGGAATTTTCTTCCTTCAGAAGCATAGCGAAGGCAGAAAAGATGGCTATCCCTCGTGGCACTGTATCTCAAAGAGAAAAATACACTTCGCATTATTAAATGGAGCTTGCGTAATTCATTAGCTATAGTGTCTAAAATAACTGCAAAATTGTACTTGGATTTGTTTAGTAAACAATTGCTTTTTGTATTTAAGCATCGATCATCATTTTAATTTCTTTGTAATTGGACCTAAATAATTTCACCCATGTTTATTGTGGCTTTCAGGTTTCCAGAGACTATTTTAATATTCTTGGGTCAGCTTACTGGCTAGTGGAGATGTTTAGATTTTTTTTTAGACGTCCCGGGTCAGCGGTCAACGCCAACGTCAAGATAATCAGGAAAATGATACTATTGATGAGTGGGAGGATAGAAGGTCCTATGAATTCAAAGTCACTGAAAGGACTGCACTCAGTCCAGCCCCTGAGACCATAAGAAATGATCTCTTGTCCTTGTTCCTTTGTGGTTCAGGGAGGAAGGAGGATGGTTTACAAACAATATAGTCATTTAAGAAAGATGAGTAATTAGGAAATATTAAAAGTGACAAGTTCCAATAATGCAATCTCCTGTCCATTATAATTGAATTTCACTACTAGCAAATGCCAAACTATGTAATGATATAAAGCACACCCTGTTCTATTTTTAGCATTCATTAAATTCACAATAAACAGTCCTTATTTTCAGCAAACCCATTGTTGTAATGGATCACGGGGGAAAAATGCAAAAAAAAAAAGCTTTTCACTTGTTGTTATATCAAATAGACAGTATGCTCTGAATTGAACCTGACATGTATCTAACTCGTATATAAATATATTTCTGTGATACTTGTCAGCAGATGGAATTTTAATCAAAATCCGATCACCACACAAGGTCTAACAGAGACAAAGTACAGGATATTGGAAATGAAAGGGCAAATTTTTATTTCAGGGCTGGATGATATGCTGTTTTCAGGTGTTTAAATGTTAGACAAAGAAGATAAGTAAATGTTAAATCTTCAGCCGCTAAGGTTTTTTAACGATTAATTGATATCTGGTGATATCAATAGTGTCATAAGCTGCACTGATCTAGAAGGACAAGAAGAGTCATCCGTATCCTAAGACAGAGGCACATCACTCGCCAGTCTGATTAACGCTGTTTCTCTGAAAACATGACTGGAGTTTTTTTCATAGACATCATTTCATATAAGGAAATCGTGTAGTACGAGTTTAGATACGAATAGGAGATGACAGATTGGACAAACCTGGTTTCTTCTCACTGAAACTGAGCCAACTGAACTGGTTCAGTTGAATCAAAATTGTTATAATGGCAGACAACCCCTGTGGAGGCTTTGTGTAAATTGTTGATGTTCATATAACCTTTGATTTTGTCTGCACAGCAATGTCCATATACATACTGTGCATTGAATATACAAACAAATTCGTTTTCTATATCAAAGCATCGCCTTAAGAATTACTTCCAATTAAGTATTTGACTGCTTTTCAAATGCTTAGGTAATACTGCAGAGAATATGTTAACGAATTCTGTAGCCCAGAAACAAAAAGAGGGAGATACTCGATTCATATGAATTAAAAATGTAATGTTTGGCCACAGTGCGGCTCAGTCTGACTGCTCACTTCTGCTCTGGTTTATGTATCAGTAGAAGGATCATTGCTTTTCAGACAGGGAAAGAGAGAAGTCTAGCTGAGGATGAGAGAAGAACCGCTCACAGCGGAATGACCTCTGAACCAATCAGATGGAACACGCTGCCGGTACAACAGGCAGTCCTCCCACTGCACAGGGGAATAATTAGGAATTCACAAGGCTGTTTGCATCATTTTGTGTATTGAGGATGGTGTGTGCAGGGGGGGAGGGTTTGAAATATAAAGTAGTTTGGCATTCAGGTGCCACGATTTCATGGTGTCCAGTGCAAAAGTATTCCAGGGTTAAAAAAAAAAAACACGAGCAAATTAAATCTGTTTTGT